CCGTAAGAGTGTGTAAACAGTTCGCTGAGTTGGCAGCCCGCTAAGCTGTCTTCACATTTTCGATTCCCATTTCTTGTAAGCTCTGCTTTTGGCCATGTCTCTTTGCAGTTTGTTGCTCTGAATCTGGGAATTTGTGAAACACTCGAACTTAGGTTTTTATTTCCACTCCATTTGAAAATCCGCTTTATAGTTTAGCAAGCTGACTTATTTGTTTTGCTGTTGCTGGCTGTCCTTGCAGTTGTTGTCAACAGGGACAGGAAAGTTGGCAAGTTGGGGGGAAGACCAAATTTATATGATGGCCTCATGCTGTTAAAAGCTATTGAAGTTTTTGTGAATATAGGGTTCTTTACATTTAGCATACATGCACATTTACTTTATTTCGCTTTAAGTGTCAACTTTTGCAAAATACTACTGTACCGCCATCAATATGTAGACCATTACATGCAGACAAAAAATATACTGATGTGATATGCTGAAAAAGGGCATTTAATAATGTAATGTTACATATATTAAAATCGAAAAATGATTGGAACAAAAATGTTCTTTCTTTTGATTACAAAATGTTTTATTTCCATACAGACCACATCCTTGACAATATATAATTTCGGTTTTAAAGAGGTCCAAATCGGAAATCACGCGACTTCATTATATAGCTTAATTAGCCATGGTTTCGGCTACTGAAGCTAGCTTCTAATCTTTTTTAAAATCATTTAGCACAATTAAATCGATTAGATCTTGAAATCTCTGGGCATTCCATTTAAGTGCCCCCACTTTCCACCGCGTTTCCCTGTTTTTCTGGGCTCGGATTGGAATGTTTGCTCTATCGATTGGGAAGGAGCGTTGGGAATTGCCTGCCTTCAGCACCGTTAGCTTCTGTATCCGCTGGCCGGCGTGTCCTTCTATCTGCACCTTGGAGTGCAAACAAAGGGATCCAAAGCCAAAGCCAAAGCACTCAGACAGCTGGTCAGACGGTCAGTCGTCCGTTTGCAGCACGCTCCGATGCCGTTTGGTTATATCTGTGAACCTGGTCATTGAAGCTAAGGCCTTGGCGCAAACAGGAATTCCAGCAGCAGTGAAGGTGGAGCTTTAAAGGAGTCTACAATGACTGACTTCCCACTGTGTGTGTGTGGTTTACGTAATAAAATCAGAAACTTTTGTAATTTATGCCGTCTACCAGTTTGTTTTACCATTTGCTGGCCCAATTATCAACTACCTGCCTTTGGAGCCCTCAACGTTTTGCCATATTTATGCAAATGGGCCATATATATGTATATTTCAGTCTGACCGAATTCCGGAGTGCAAGCCCAAATTGTTTTTCCTGGGACCCCTCGAAACTCCTTGAAATCGCAGGGAAAAATTAAATTTACTTTGATTAATTATGCCTACAAAATGAATCTCTATAAGGGCGGCATCGTTAAAGATCTTGCTTATCCTGTTAGCGTTAATAGCCAAACTTGGGCTGTAACAGTCGACTTTATCTGCTGTCGTCCAATTTAATGGAGGCCGTAGGTTGGTGGGGTGGGCTCTGAAACTTTAGCTGCAAGTTTATGCCTTTTATCAATTGATTTCCATCAAATAAAACACTTTCTTGCTGCGGAAAGTGAGGCAAATAAATTGGATTTCTCTAGGAGTGGGTGGGGTATTCTTCCGCAGAGTTGCTTAGTTAGTAAGAATATCCGTTCGGGGCATAAATTAGTGGGTCGAGTCATTTGCCGTTGTCTGCTTTATGTGGCCGCATCAGGGAGCAATTAAATGGAATGCTTTGGAATACATACCTGAATTTAGCCACCCTTTTGGCCATGTTCCGCACTGTACTTTCGCTCACTTTAGCCTTTAATTTAGTTAGCGGAAGTGCCTCGGGCATTCCAGCTTTTAATTTGGCCTTTGTAGCTGCCAGCTCGGCAATTTCTTTATGCTGCATCTCTCTTATCGCACTCACCTATTGCCCTTCTGCCTTTGGGGAGACTTTTGAGTACATCCGCTTAATTAAAACAATAGTTGTCCGTTTTCTTTTTAACGCCCCCAGAAAGAAACTTAAACACAAACGAACTTAAGGTTGCCGAATAAATAAAACTTCCTTTATTTGTAGCACACATAACGTTTAACTGGAGGAACGTATATTGTTATAGTATATGCATACATTGGGTTGGTAGCCAAGGGTTCGTTTATTGCATTTAACATGTATTGAGGACACAGATATATCTCGGATTAATCTCCTTGGGACAAGAGTACAACATTAACACTTTACTAGTTTAGCACTGGGTAATGTTTTATTTGCGCTTAGCAACATTTGGTTTCTGCTTAGTGGTAACAACCAGATATCAATATTCATGCGGAAGTTAAAAGGTACAACTCTCAAGTGCCAGTGATATCCTAGCTAGACTATATATACACATATAGCACCGCCACTTGGCCATCCTAGGCTAGGAATATAAATCGATGCAGACTTTCCCCTGCTCTCTATGTACACTATACAATGTTTGGCTTACGGAGGCTGTTGCTCAAAGCAAGGCCAAATCCGCAGGAGGAGCGGCTGCTTTCTGTCCTTACTGCCTCCTTTCATGTCAAAGGATTGTCTCAGCTGTCGGCTAAGCTGCCTGCGTTCTACACTGGGGAAAATGTCGCTTTGGGAATGTAGGATAAAGCTTGCAGAGAAATCTGTCATTGGACATTTTTGAATTTTTTGGCCATATTTGCATGATAAAATAATGTTAATGTACAATGTGTCTTTAAAATGAAATTCGGATGTATATCCAGAGCATTGCGGTTACACATCCCGGGAGGCAAAATAATTATTAAGTTTGTATTTGAACCTTTTTCAAATTGTATCTAAATTATGAAATATTTTGAATAGCAAACCAGTTTTGAAAAAAGGCGCCTTTACCATGTAAAGCTTCGAGACTGTTCGACTTTTCCCAGTGTATCCATCTCAGCTGGCAAATCCTAGACCCTGGCATCGCTGTACTCGATGCGAACCACGCGCCTTGGCCGCTGCACTCCGGGCAGGGGTATCGCCCCCGTTCCCGTTCCGCGCAGCGCCATTAGCTCCCGCGGCTACAACTGCGTCCGCTTCGCCGCACCACCTACACCTCCGACTCCATTGCCGCCGCCCACGGAGCAGGAGGCGGATCCATCGCTGGTGGCCTCCACATACGAGTAGCAGGCCGTCTCCATGACCAGTGGATGGCAAATCTCGTAGACGGGCACCTTGAGGCTCGTCTTGCGCAACCCACCCAAGCTGCTTTGCGAGCTTGAGCTGGGCCCAAACGATCGTCACCTGGGGTCGTTGCTCATCTCGGAATGGTGCAGCTCACTCTCGTCCCCGAAACTGTGGGCCGCAGCACTGGGCGTTATGCTGGGCGTTCGGGCCCGAATGCGAATGGCGGACATGTCAGATCCGCGGCGGGAGCTCTTTAGGGAGACGGACTGGCGGGAGCAGAAGCACCTGCAGATGATCCGCTTGAAGGCGAAGCGGAAGTCCTTTGAGAACAGGGCGTAGATCATGGGGTTTACGGCGGAGTTGCAGTAGCCAAGCCAAAAGAGCACCGAAAAGAGCAGCGGATCGACGCAGTCCTGGCAGAACGGCCGGATGATGTACATGGTGAAGAAGGGGCACCAGCAGAAGATGAACATGCCCACGATGATGGCCAGTGTCTTGGCGGCCTTGGTCTCCATGCGGAAGCGCTTCACCTGCGCCTTAATGTTGCGCCTGCCCATCTTCTTGTTGGCCGGGCGCGAGTGCGCCGATCCTCCGGCCTCGCTGGTGTTGCTCTGACGCCTGGCCAACTCCGGCAGACCCTTTCCCACCTGCAGGTAGCATGAGCTGGCCCCGCCGTGCTGCTGCTGTCGATAGAGATGCGACTCTGTGGACTCCCGCCCATTGGTGCCGTTGTAGTGGACGGCAAACAGTGCGTTTCCCGATGGCCGCCGCTCGTGGCCCACATCCCCGTGCCCGGCAAGCTCGCTAATGTTTTCGCTGGAGGGGTAGGACACCGAGATCTTGATCTTGTCGTGGTGGTGCAGTCGCCTGGTGGCGTACTTCGACAACCTCTCCGGTGAGGGAGTGCCTAGGGTGGTGGTGGTGCTCTGGGTGCTCCCGTTGCTGTGCATGGAGTCCTGCTGGTTGGATCCCCGTCCTCGGTGGATGCGCAATGTGAGGCGTTGTTCCTCGAACCGCGAACCGATGCCCTTGGAACCTGGTCAAGGAAGAAGGCATAAAATACATCAGTACAAGCAGTATTACATTTCGGTGGTGTTGTATCCTGCCCCCCATTTCCCGCTCATTCTCTCAAACTCCTAGTGTATATCGCTCATACGCCCCGGTGCACGCGCTTGGAATTCGTTGCCTACTTCACGGCTTTTGGCCCACTGGAAAAGAGCTCGCCAGCCTGCCTGCACTTTAGCAAATTAAACGCGTAATTATGCAAATGTTGCGCCATAAACGCGACAAGCACTCGACGTTGTCGTAGTCCTCGTTTCGGTGCTCCTCCCCCTCCCCCTCCACCATACTTGGCAAGGAGTGTAGTCGCCTTTAAGCCGCCTTCAAAGCGAACTTTATTTCATTAACACAACCATTTGCATAATCCTCGCTTTCTTGCTTTCCCGCTCGCTCATCCGGTACATATGTTGACTGCCTCCGCCTTGCTTTGCATTTATTACTCATACGCACGTTTAACTGCTGAATACATTTTCATTACTCGGCTCCACTCAACCCGCGTCGAGTAATGAATAATCGGCGCAATAATGCAATATTTCAGTCGGGCCATTACTGGCGCTGTTGCGTCTCCGTTTGCGGCATTAAAAGCTGGCTTATTGTCAAAGAAACACACGAGGGCCTTAAGTCTGCTCCGAGTTTATGGACACTCGGATGGGCAGTAGACCATGCGGATTGGAGGCAGCCAACTTGAGTGGGAGTGAGCGGCAAAGTCCCATTCAATTGGATTGCTATTAAGGAGGATTCGGAAATCCAACCACGAAGTAAACAACTTTAGATGGAAGGAGCCTGAATCCTCAAAAGCTTATGTTACTTCTAAAGAATTTTAACTTTCTGGCTGATAAGGATAGTTATTTGTAACTTACTTTAATGCAAGGGTGGGCAAGTAAGTGTTGGAAAATCAAGGTGTCCGGCAAGCAAATGTAAGTTTTAATTTTGTCTAAGTTTAAGAAGTTCCCATATTCTGCATATCTCTTTAATCACTCAATCAATCACACAATTCAATCGCGTGGAAAATGAAATGTAAATATATTCATTTTATATAGCTAGACAGCGTGACCTATACATCTCCCGAATAGAAAGAACTAAATAGCTGAAAGGGTATAAGATGGTCGGTTTTGCTTGGCTTGTTTTGTTTTGTTTTACTTGTTTCATACACGAATTGTTGACCTTATGTCAACCAATACCTGTGAGCTGCCCGTTGGTATTTGCCAATTTCTGTCTTCGTGGTCGGCACTTGTTTTTATCTTTTGTGCTTGCTCTGATTGGTTTTCGTTTTGTTTTGTTCGATTTTACTTTTATTGAAAACGCAGCCGACTTACCCTGCTGCGATACACACATACATATACATTTAACATATAATATCTGGATTAACTTATGCGTATGAGTTGTCCTCAGCGACTAACACATGTACATACACATCGGAACTGAAAACAATGGTCTGCTTACGTCTAATCTATGTATCTCATACTGCTGTATCTGGTAGGTATAGTACTATATAGTTAAACGTAGCCTTAGGTCTAGGTAAATACATGAAAATTATTGCCATACAGTTACAACGTCGTTCAATGCGAATACTGACAGTTTTGAGAAGTGGGATGCACTGCGTCTGCCTCTGCGTCTGGCGGAGCTTACAAAAGTATCAAAAGAGCAAAATGCATTAGAGGACGCGTCCCTTGCAGAATCCTCCCCGTCGGATCCGCCGTCCCGATCCCGACACGGATGCGGAGCACTCCGCCTCCTGCGGCAGGGAGGAGCTCCTTTGCAGCGGACTCGGCTCATAGCTGCCGATTAGTCAGCTGAAGTCCACGCCCTCCCCGTCGTCCGAGCATCCGGATATGGTCTTGTGGAATGTGGCCGGTGCCATCAGGGCACGCGCCGCTATCATCTGGAAATTCTCCGACGCCCGGAAGCCACTGCGGGTGCAGACGCATCGGCACACGATCCGCTTGAAGGCGATGCGAAACTCATTCGAGAAGAGCGCATAGATCATCGGATTGATGGCCGAGTTGCAGTAGCCGAGCCAGAAGAGCACCGAGAAGACCGTCGGCTGGATGCAGTGGTCGCAGAAGGCCCTGATCAGATACATTGTGAAGAAGGGCAGCCAGCACACGATGAAGCCGCCCACAATGATGGCCAGCGTCTTGGCCGCCTTGGTCTCCATTCGGAAGCGCTTCACCTGGAACTTGGCGCTACGCTTGCCTGCCCGCTTCTTGGCCGACAGCGAGGTGGTCGAGAGTCCGGTCTCTAGGTCTCCAGGACCAGACGCAGCTGCGTCCAAGTTAAAGGTGGTTTCGCCAATGTCGAAGAGGCTCGTCTTGAAGGAGGCACGTCGTCCGTTGGCGCTGCTGATTACCGCGTAGTGTGGCGACGCCTGTGGCTGTTGTCCTGCGTCGAGGACGTTCTCGGAGGAGGGAAAGGACACCTTGATGGCCACCTTCTCGTGCCGCTGTCGGCAGACGCGCATCGAAGTGGCTCGCTTGGGGGCGCCTCCCTGAAGGTGATCCTCGGTGGAGGCACCCAGTCCCGAGGCCACGGCCCCACCCCCGCCCCCGTTGCTGTTCATGCTGAGAGTCGAGGACATTGAGTGCACCGACAGAGGCGTGCGCTGGGGGGTGGAGCAAGGTCGTCCTCGGTGGATGCGCAATATAAGCTGGGACTCGTCCACTCGATTGTTGCCCGACTCGCGAGGACTGCCTGCAATTAGTGAGTGGTGCAATTTGGCGGAGTTTGCATCGCGGTGACCTCTCATGGATTAATTTCGGTGGATTTGGTGGTTTCTTTGGTCTGAGTGTGAGTGTGTGACATGGATGTTGGACATTCAGCTTGTATTGTACATGGACATGTGGTTAAATGGACGATCTGTGGCTGCTGTTGGCTGTTGGTTCGAGGTGATTCAGTTAGATACAATCGTTTAAGTAGATGCAAGATACATTTCTCCTTGAGTAAGGTAAAAATTTATTGACTGACACTTCACGAAGAGCGGTTAACTAACTACAAACTGTTACATTGAGATAGGTTTAATGGTGGTAAAAACTTACGACTAGTTGAGTATAAAAAAATGCTGCTCTACTTTTGTAATTACAAACATATTATTTATAGAGAGAAAAGGGACTCATTCCATTATAAAAATCTAGTTCATAAAAACGTAGAAATATTGGAGTTTTTTTAAATGTTTTTGTTTTTTCGTTTGAATTTATCTAGGACCAGGCATTGAACAGGGAACTTGGGTTTTACGGATATTGATCACATCAGATTCAAATGCAAAATATTGTCGGTAAATAATTGTTATAAACAGGTTGTTTAATTTATTGTGGTTTAAGTCTGTTTTTTGTTTATCTTTCCGAGTTTTTCACACTGTGGGAATGGCTTTAGTAGCCTAATTTTATTTAATTATGGTTGTGGGATAGATCAAAAGTGGTGGTTTAGGAGGACTGAATATGAAACTGAAATGCTTATGCACCCCATGGATAAATATGAAAAACAAGGGGAACCGCTAAAGTCGATTTCCTCGACTATCAGATACCTGACCCGACATCCCGGGAGACCGACAGGAAATTTCAACATTTGGTTAGGAACTCGACTCGGCTAGTGATCCTGATCAAGATAATATGTATATACTTTATAGGCTCGGAAACGCTACCTTTTACATACTTTTCAGTATTAATAGAAGCGGAAAGAAACGAATTTCTCAATTGTCAATGGCTTTAAAAATTGCCCCACGTAATTAAGCGAAATAGTCCGGCCCATTAGTTATGGGCTATCATGTCCAAATTGTGAACTGAATAAATATGAATGCAGATACAGATACACGTGTACCCAGGCTATCTTAATTTAATGCGAAGCATGCCGCATTTATATTTGCATAAACCATATTAAACCTATTGAAAGGAAGTATGGTTCGCCTATGAATAAACGAAGTGGGTGAAAGGAAAATGTGTACAAACAAGAAACCCAGCATATGCAGGATTCAGTAAATAAAAAGGGATACACTATTGATTTTTTCCTCTCTTCCCCTACCCCTACGAAAAATAAAAGTTAAACAAACAATTTGTATACAAATATACAACCGAAATATCCTAATGTATGTAAATATGCTAGGATGTGCAGGCGCAATCCCGGCGAAAGCCTCAGGATGTTTCGCATCCTGCGGCGCTGCTGATTTAAATAAATGTATAACTTTCGTCCGCAACTAAAGATAATCCTTGCACATAAATGTACATTGAAATGCTTGGTCGCATTGTACAATTTTTATTTCCCTGAGCGCAGTTGTTTTCGTCCATTAATTCTGCACTTACAATTCACTCGCAGTATTTTTGAGGGGGTTGTGTGTCCTTTAATTGAATGGCATTTAATAATAATTAAACGTCTGAGTGCGGCGGGATAATTAGCCAGAATTGATTTGTCCGCCGCCAGTTGTTGTTATTCGCGGACTTGCATGATGCGAGCATTGTCGCCAGCCTTTGACCTTTGGACGATGTCCTGGCCGGGACAGAAGACAAGTGGCTGCAAGTGAAGGCCCAGGACTCGGTTCAAGCTGAGCCTGGATGCCAGGGGCAGCTCGCACGAAAGTTGCCGGATCCTTTCCGTTTCGTTCTGCTCTTGACATGGGGCCAGGGTCACACTTCTGAAATTTCTAAGGCCTAACAATAACAATGACCTCCGCCTCGTGGTCGACGCCGTGAACCTCGGCAAGTTTTGAACTTGAAACTTGATTACCTTCAAAAGCCACGAAAAACGAGAACGGCGCGTGGGCCGGATGGCACACCTACCTCCAAAAATAATAGAGAACACCAGGACAAAAAGCATCAGCATTGTGTCACGGAGCGATTTCCGACGTTGTGCACGCACAGCCAAGTGGCACATGTTCATATGTACACGACCAATGCTTAAAATAATGGAAGTGTACGAACTGCTGGAAAGTTCTTTAAGGGAATATTTTAAATTGAAATTTTCGTTTAGTTGAAAAATGAATGAATGTAATCACCAAATGGCCTAAAGCATTTTAATTATGGTTAGCCACCGAAAGTAGTAGGTTAAGGCGTAAACAGTTTAACTCAATCAGAACATGTAAACATTGTATTCCTTGCGTTAAGCAAGAACAACTTTTAAAATGCCCAAAAGTTATCAAGTAAAGACTGTCATTTATTTTCTTGCGGTGTGTCCACATAAAACTATAACGAGCTGCCCCGCGTGTGGGTGTGTTGGTAAACAGCTCTCTTTAGCTGCCTACGAGTGTGTGTGTGTGTGTGTGTGTGTTTGTTTGCGAGGAGACAAAGCATATATCAAGGCTGCCACACGACGTTTCTCGCCGGTGTGGGTGAGGGAAGGGTGGGTGGGAGTGTCTGTGTGAGCTGCTGGCAAATCTGGGCTTTGTGCTCAAAATGGCGCCAACTAACGACACGACAGTGCCAAAACAATAACAACTGCCAAGGCAACGGGAGCAAGAATGTCGACAGCAGCAGTGGTCTTAAGCTGGTGGCCCCGAAGTGCACTATCCGCTTCCGTTTTTCAAATCGACTGAACTTCAATATGGCGGCAGTCAGCGCCCCAAAGTATGCAATCAGTTTTAAAATGCAATTTCGTAGCATACATCCCAGGGCAGCAGGATTTGTGGGGCCCATAAATTAGCGGGGAGCATTGATTTGCAGAGCCACGAAGGCTGGTTATTGATTTTCCCGCTGAAGTCAGTCGGTCGGTTGACTTAGTTACCGCAGATTATCAGGGAATGCGTGCTATGGATAGAATGGGACATAATATTTCCGAGAAGTGTGCCCAATGAGCTGATCACGCGGAAGAAAGTGCGCTGTGGCCCTGGGCAAGTAATGGGCCACATATTAAAATAAACACCCAGCGCCAGTCTAATGTGGGCTTCCGACTTCAAACAGAATCTGTTCCGTGGATTATGGCCACCACAGTCTTTGGGGACCAGTGAGGCCTGAAACGACAAAAACCTAAGAAAATAGCAAATTGCATTGATAGCAATGTTTGCCTTGAACATGCTAACATGCTAACAAGGAAGTCATATTATATTTTATTTAATCTTAGCCGGTGGGTCGCTTTCATGTCTGTCATTTTCTGGCTGAATCCCGCCCCTATTTAATCCCAGCATCCATTTTATCTAAGCCGATTTCTTTGATGTGCTCCCTCAGCGTTCATCGATTTCTTGTTTTTGCCCAACTCGGAATATAATGCTAATTATGATGCGTGACTTCTCTTTGGGCATGTGATTTATATAATGCTGGGATAATTTTAAAGGAATGGGACGTGTGCAGGACGTGGATTCCGGGTCTTAGGTATTTATTGAAACTTTAATGGAGATATTTAATTTTATAATTTTATAATTGGTAAAGCCAATTGGGTACTTCGGGTTCATAGCGGGATATTCACAATTTAAAGTTGGAGCGCTTGTTAATCATACGCATCTATATGTTCACATAGTTGGGTAAACTAGGCTAATTGATATTTATGAGTTGGGACTTTCCGGTACTAAGTTATTATCACATTCATTTGAATAAAGTTATGAGGACTTAAATTACAGGGATTTTTATTTACTCCGTGCTTTACAGAGATATTTGTTAATTCAAAATTTATTTTTCTCTCTTCGCTTACATTTAATTAAGAACTGTATTTTCAATTGGTTTTAAGGGTTTGACTTTTTAATGCCTGGGCTTTCACTAAGTGTGTATGCATATGTATACTTATAATTTTACTTATTTCCATGTTATTTATCATGTTTATTTATGTGCAAAACACAAAAACAAAATGCCGACATATGTATATATAAATGTTTGGATGTGTGCGTGAAGTTATTTATGAATGTAAATTTAGTGATACTCTTTTTTGCGCCATCAATTTATACAGTTCCGCCGTGTAAGTTATATACTCCTCGACAATTTATGCTCTTCAGGGGGCGGTTATTCAGGGGACGAGGACAAGGTCGAGTGGGGGTGTATGGAATGCTCAGTGTGTGAATCTGTACACTTTTCGGTAGGATAGCCAAAATAAAACGGGACAAACAGGACGTCACACTATTGACTACACGTCGAGAGATTTTAAACTGTTTAGCAATCGATATTAAAGCTTGAATAAAAGGAACTAGCTACGTGATTACGTTACTTATTTGGTAAGTAAACAAATATATATATATATATAGAGAGAGATGAGTATCATAACCAAAACTGTTAGCTACGCACACGTTAAACCAAACTGAGGGTGACAAGGTTCAAACAAATCGTGTCCAAATGAGCTGGTGGTTGTGGTTGCTGGGTCAGTTATCTACGGATGTGACTTACCCTTGGTGGTCTTGAAGCCCTGGTTGATGGCCCTCGTGGTTCTCACGGCAGCCCGGTAGATGCGCCAGTAGAAGAAGAGCATCACGAACATGGGTATGTAGAAGGATCCCAGGGCGGAGTACAGGACGTAACCCCGATCGTTGGTCAGCTCGCACTTCCATGGACAGCTGCCGGAAATTGTCTGGGGTCTGTTCTGCGGCGGTGCGTTCAGCAGATCGAGGTCCATTTCCGATTCCGTGGTGCTCGAACTGGACGCTGTCGTGCTGGTTGTGCTTGTTGAAGTACTGGTCGAGCCCATGGCCGCAATCCGAATCTCCGCGGATCCATCGATGGGGGCGAAATCGGGATCGTAGGGATTGTAGGCGTTGCCATTGCCGACATGCGGCGGGGAGGGAGGCAAAGAGGCCTCGCCCTGGTCCTTAATGCTATCTAACTCTAGTTGACCATCCTCCGAACTTGACATCGTGGTGGTGTAGTAAAGCGTATGGTTTCCCTTTGGATAGGTCGGCTGTATAACCGCCTGGAATGAAGTAGAGCAGAGTAGAGAGATATGGGATCATGAGATGACACTTGATATTCGAAGGACCACATTAAAATTCCACCCTCGTCCTGGCACCCTCTTCACGGCGCCAAGAAGCCAATAAAAATGCAACTTAAAGCGGGTTATATTGCCAGAGATATTCGCCGACGTGTTGCGCATAAATATTACTCGTGGCTAAAGGTGGCGTTAACAAAAAGCCAACAGACCGGCGAAATAAATGCCGCGAGCTGTATGTGAGAACATGTTGGGCCTTCAGAGAATCAGGACATGTTGCCCAACCCATCGCAACCTGAGTATAGCGCCGTAATAATAATCGATGCCTACAGCCTCGACTCGCTAACCGGGTTTCAGCATGGTAGCGGGCTGAATGCCAGCCATTCAAACGTGGCCCATTCAACTGCACTCAGCCACTGCAGTTGTGAATCACATCGAATTGAATTGAATTGAATTCAGTTGAGTTGAATGGAATGTCCTTCGAAAGGATACATTTTCGCATGTGCAGCAATGGGGAAGCCATCACTTCATCGGCACCTTGATGCAAACTGGATTTATATGTTTGGCTGGGCACATATAACCAGTAGAACAACCAGCATACAAGACAGGACCATAAACTGGAGCTGGGCCAAAAGGCGAGTAGTCATGTATCCTGCCTGATCTGATTACCCAGTGACTGGGGTGCCCATAAATTGTGCTCCCGGCCTGTTGGCAATTTCGTTGCGGCATGTGTAACACATCATTATCAGTGTCCTTGCGTAAGAAAAATGTCAAATAATGCCCCAGAAGAGGGGGCGAAATTAGAAACAGGTTCCTTTCTCCGAAAGGACGAAACTCGTGTCTTGTTTTACGGTAATTTTGGCACAAATGAGCCGGATTGCAGTCTTCAGAGCCAGCCAGTGTCGCTTCCATTGTCGATGTGGTTGAGAAACCACTGCTGCCAACCCCAAAATGGTGTCAATGACAGAATGGCCCTCCGTTTTGGGGCTCTGGAAACAACTTTTGGCAGTCGGTCGCCTGCCTGCCTGCCTGGCTTTTGTTCTTTATGAGGCTGACTTGAGCGTGCTAAAAACAGTTTACCGACTTTCAATTTTGCCGGTCCTTTCGGTTCTAGCGTTGGCAGAGACAAACCGCGTTTCCCATTTACCCCGTTAATTTATCGCATTGGGTCACTTGTGGGTCAGTTGCTGCCCCCAGCCCCCAGTCCCCAACTTACCTTTTGATCCTTCCAGCCGACTAGCGGCGGAAAGCATATAAAAAATGAGAGTACCCAAATGCCGGCGATTAAGGACTTGGCCTTCTTCGTGGACATAATGCTTGGGTAGGTGACGGGTCGCGTGACCGCCACATAGCGATCCAGAGATATGGCACACAGATTCAGGATCGATGCCGTGCACATCCACACATCGACAGCCAGCCAAATGCGGCACCAGAGATCGCCGAATATCCAAACCTGTGTTCAAAAATTTTCGATATTTAAATAAAATGGAATTCTTATAATTCGTTTTATCATAAAGTGCGTAATCTTCCTTGTAAGGCCCACAAATCGAGAAAAGCTGTCGCGCCCACAATGTTGATTATTTTGATTTTACTATTTTCCTTTCCCATTTCTACCGATATTCCACAACAGTTTTAAGTCGAGCATACTACTAGCTCTTGTTAATAATTAATATGTGTGGATGTAATCATAGTTTATAACTTTAAAATAAATAAATAACAGATCGAAAGTCTAAGACTAATTTGATTTTTATTTAAGTAGCTTGGATTTTCCTACATTCTTAACAAATTTCAATATGATATAACAGCATAACGTTGAAAATTAAATGGAATACATTTTTATCCAACCTCATCTTCACTTAATTTGTATATAACATGCATTAAATGCATAAAACAAAAAAAGAAAATGTAACCCCAGTGGTCCAATATAAATAAATGTCTTAAAGCACTTTACTAACATTCACATGTTTCTATCATTATTAAAGCGTCGTTTGGCTTAGAATCTCAAAAGTTTGTGTCATTTCAAAACACTGGCACTTACCTTGAAAACCTCCCAGGTGGCTGAGAAGGGTAGCACGGCCAAACCAACCAAAAGGTCGGCCACAGCCAGGTTGACAATGAAGAAGTTCGTCACACTCCTCAACTTATTCGAACAGAAGACGGCGGCAATCACGAGGCAGTTGCCACCGATGACCAGAACGTTGATGAACTCGAGTACGGCCAGGGAGATCAGATTGGCTGGTTCCGTCCATTTCACAGATTTGATGAGATCCTCGCACTCTGTTTCATTCATGGCGGTACTTTTGAGATGGGTGTGTATCTGAGTTCACCACCTGCAACAGACAACAACAGACAACACAGGGAAATTGTACAAAAACGATACACAAAACATTTGACTGGCCGCCTAATTGCTGCCACAACCTGACCTCGCGTGCCTAATTAATTTATGAAAAGGCTGGTCTAAAAATAGTCCAAAAATGAATGGAGCAGTCGCCAAACGAGGAAACCTAAACGAAATATAAATGTGCGTGGGTTAGACATGACCAGCAGGCATTACTCTATTTTGGGAACGATGTGAACTGAGCCACAATTGCAAATTGCTTGGCAATAATTGGAAATTGGAAAAACACAAAACTCCATCTAGGGCCTTGAAAAGTTTTTTTATTTTGTATATATTTAATGCAGCATTTTGTAATTTAAGGAAGTGGTTTTTTAGTAATCCCTTTAAATACACTTGGTCGAAAACGTACCACTACAAGGATAAGAGAAATCGCCCCAGGCCATAAATGTAAAAATAGGGCAATTAGAGGCAGAAGTGAACAAAAAGATGGCCAGAATGAGCAGGAGGAACTGAAAAATAAAGGAGGATGTGCCGCATTGCCGGTGGCGTATTTGCTTAATTGTTTTGTAAGACAACATAAGCCCAACCTTTAGGTCTTATCCTGGGCCAGTACTGACCTGCGTCAATAATGTAAAATTAAATACTGGTGGATATATACATAATACTGAATGGCAATCATATACATATATATTCTGAGTCGGCGGGAGTGAAGCCGTACACATATTGCTCACTTGGTATTCAGCTGCAGTTGCACATTGCAATTTAATTGCCGTAATTAATTACGGTCGTTTGTAATGCGTTCGTGTGCATGAGTGTGCGTTGGGGGAAATCTATGAATGAATTGGCAGCCGAATTGGCACTGTCAGCACATTTCCATTATTGAGGGACTGAATGAAGAGATGTACACTCAAATAGCTGCTAATGCCCGATAAATTATAAAATCGGCTAAACAAGCAATAAACTGCCATAGAGCGAGCTCATTGCCGCATTCCATATGATGCGCATTCGCGCAGGATTCGGGTGCCAATCAATAATTGAAATTATTTTTGACTTTAATGGTTCGGACGACTGCCAGGCACGCACCCAAAAATGCGAGGAAGGATCGCTGGGTCGGTTTTTGGGGCAGGTAATTGCTGGGTATTCACAGCACGCAACAAATCGATTAAAGTACACATTTGCCTTAGAACTAAGCCACTTTATGGAGCGAGGCACATTGGTACCAATTGTGTGAATTGTGTGAAGTTTGGCAAGTTCCCCATGGCCACTTGGACATGTGCTAAAGAACACCTGTTTTGGTCGGCTTAATATTTTGTAAAGCGCTTTAATAATGCATATGCGAGCCCAAGTTGGAAGAAGGCAAGCCTGCACATAGCAAAAGCCGAGTGCCATGGGAACCTGTTCACCGCCCAAATGTTCCAATCAAGCGAACTAAATCAAACAATATCGATTTCCAAGTAATACTCGGCAATCATTGTTTACGGGTTAAGTTCAAGGTAGTGCCAACCTTTTGTTGGCGACGTAGGGTTAAAGTAAGTTAGCCCCACATTGTGCAGAAACCATGGGATATTCCGCAGTATTGCCAATCCGGGGCAAGAAATGCGTGTACGAGGCCCGCATAAATTACTCACATGACAAACAAAATGCACAGGCCAAAGAGGGGCATGCCCGCGAAAATTGTTGCCAGTTGGAAAGTTTAAAAGCATTCTGGCCGGGGACGTGGCAGGAAGGCCTTCCTGAAACTCGACGGCAGTTGATGGCATTTTCTTGGCGCACGAAATTTGCATGTGGAAATTCGCTTTGTGGCAGCTAATAAGGAGAAATGCCCAAATTGAGTTGCACGCCGAAATTCGCCAACATTAAATTGCCGAGCGTAATGAATAATTGGCATTTAAACCGAGTTGTAAAAGCTTTTCACCCACGCGACCCACACGGCGTATACGCACTCCCTTTTTGTGCTAATACCCTTGAAAAGTGAGTTGCTTTGAAAATTGCTGGTAATTTGAAAGTATGGCCAGAAAATTGGTGTAATAAATTAAAGCAAAATGCGCCAAGCATATTAAGAGCAGAATAAAGAATATTTTAAAGAGTATCAACAGATTTAACTTGCTGATGCACTCTGCATTTTTGTTCCATTACGCATACGCCTAGTTGACGATGACATAAAGAGGGAAATATTAATGAGTTCAGGGGTGGCGTTTTGAAGCAAATTAAATTTAATTACCGCAGCATTAAAAGTTAGCAGAGTTCTTTAGACGGAATTCAAATGTCAAAAGGCGTAAACAAAGTTTAAGCACATTTTCCGTGAATCATTTATACTTATACATATATACATATTTTTACCAATTCATTTTGTGCAAATGACTTTAAAGCACGCAATCCTCATTTATGTTTCACTTATTCTAAATAAGTTTTTATTTGAAAGTTACACATCTCCGGAAGGATTTCTAAGTATCTTTTGTTTTTAACTTATTCTGATTTAATTGGTCTTCTTGTAAATTAATTTTGGTTGGTAAAAAAAAAATTAATTTCAAATTTTTGGTCCGAACTTCTGTATGACATAAACTTTTCCATTGAAGATTAAATTGCCGCGTTGGAAAATAGTTGTTTTCGTAATTTTATAATACATATTTATCTATTCCCCAACAATCAAATGTATATTCACGGAAACAAAATGGAGACAGTGTTTCTAAAAGGTCTTGTGTATGCAAATTAAGCATAAAATTCCATTATCGCAATGTAAATATTAAATTACAGTCACAATGACCCGCAAAGAGCTGAATTTGTATAAAAGTACTTTTCTTTGCTAGGACAAGGAAGGAAAACCCTGAATTCAATTTGTGTGCCGAAGCTGGAGAGAAAATTAAAAGCCAGAGCAAAGAAAATAAAACCACAGGAGAAATTGTATCAAATCAGATTTATAAATTTCAAGGTGCCTGGGGAATTGCAACAAGGTGATTAGGTCACAGGGCAATCACAGCACTATTTGATGCGGATTTTGTCCGTTTATACTTAAGTAAGTTTATTGCAAACTCTAATTGATCGGAATGATATGGAATACAAACTAATTGGTTTTCCATTCTATTTGAATCAAATTTCTATTCGCACTAACTTGATTTTTTAATAAGTCCATTAGCCGGATAAACCAATTGGACTAACAAACCGCAACATTTGTGGCGCAAAATCAAGTTGGCGCCAATTAGCTGGACGCGTAGTTTCGGCCGCTAAATGAGCTAAATGAGAATTAAAACGCGAAATTCGCAACAATTTGCAGTTTCCACACAACCGGAAACAGGATTCCCAAAACCGGAAACTGCACCATTACACACAGCCGCAAAAGCAGGCCACGCGGAGATAAAACAATTTTGCGGCTTGCTGATTTCTGCCAACTACAATTGACCGACGACAGCTCCCGCAGAAACTTTTAATTTAATTCTGATAATTGCGCGCGAATGGCTCTCAGAAATTAGAGGGGAGCCCCCAAGCCCAAACAATTGGGCAAATGGAGGCAGTCGGGCCTGAACTTTAACAGCATTCCAAACTATCACTGGCAAGCTGGCTTTGGCCATAGGCGCTGAAAATCCCTTGTGAAAATACAATTACGTGGCTGAAAATCAAATGCAAATGACAGGCCTAAGCCTCTCGATGTGTTCGCTGGCTTTGTTCGAACGCCGAGATCTGAGCATGAGCTCAAGTGATATCTGGAGAGGTGCTGACAGGAAGATGTCCTAGGAGCTCTAGCTGGGGTGTTTTGAAAACCTGATTTATTGTGGGAACTACTTGAAGTAATTAAAATTTAATTAATGGCCCGCCTGGCTGATAATGTTAAGTAGTGGGGCCATTAGCACAGACCCTGCTTTTTCACTTTGCCCACCGTTTACGAGCGAATGTTCACGTGCTTTACGAGCATCTGCCGGAGACACATCAAAGTGTCCCCCGACTTGGGGATACATTCCGGCACATATATATTCACCCGATTTATTGCCGCTCATTTGGCCAACGGTATGTAACTGCAGCAGCAGCTACGCAAACAGACAAACAAGATAATCAATGTCGGACGCACACACATCATCGTGTCAGAGTTGATTGCAACATTCATGTGGACATGGGTGTGGGTGAGGGAGTTTCGAGGGGTGTGGGTGCGGCAGGATGGGCTCAAATTCGCCATTCCGCTTGCCGACGGCGAAATGTGCAACTGACAGCTGCTGAGCAGCTGCAGCAACAACACAGCTATGGCCACACAACTAGGACGTGCCCACGACTACTGTCAAATGTGCCTTTGTAAGGAACATATGTATACATACGTGCCGCATACTCCTGCAACTCCTACTTCCAGATGAGGCGCGGAGGGGCTTGGCAGGACGTGCGTGCCACTTTGCCACAACAGCAAGGAGCAACGGAAATAATAACAGGAAATGTTGCCAACTAAATTTTTAACACAGCACAAGTTCTACGAGCAGCTTGACTAATTGTGCGCGACATGCATTCCATTTCTCTCAAGTCCTTTGGGTAAATAGAGTCGCTAGCAAATTGTTTGATTGATTGCTGTTTGTGAAAGTTGTCAGAGAAATCAAGATACGGAAGGGAAAACGGGTCCGGACCTTAAAAGCGAGTCCTTGAATTTGCATCAAAGAAAAAAGCTATCGAAATGCTTCACGTTTCTAAAAATGAAATGTGACTTTTTCAAAAGACCTCACACTGAAATCTTTTATTTAAACTAAATTTAAAATGTTGCCTGTAATTTACTAAGAGTCAGAAATAAATAAGTGAGCTGTTTACATTTTTTGGCTGCTGCTTTTTGAAAAATCCGAGCTGATACATTTGTTTCTTATGTAAGGAATTCCCGGAATATGCGGCCTGAATGAGAAAACTTTTTTAATATAAAAAAGCCTATTATTTCGATTAGGAATACAAATTCCTGAGTACCCAAAAGACGCACAATTATGGTCAGCTTCTTCGAATCCCAAAAGTAAACACACCAGTCTCACTTGGCACCCCATGTAAAGCTCCTCTTTCAAGATTTATTTACTCACCAATATCAGCAGTTCGTTGGGTAGTTGTGACCATGAATTACAGAGCTGTTGCTTTATGGCCATGTTGTTGATGTGGCTGGCGATGTTGAAGCTGCGGTTGTTTCTGGCAACCGTGGCCTCTGCCGCTGATGATGGCCGTGTTTTGGACCAAAAGCGATCCCTTTGCCGATGCTGATGCCGATGCGGTCGCTTTAGGATTCCTGTGCGTCTCGTTGGCCCCGGCACCCGCAGTTTGTCTCCATGCAGAACAACTGCGTTCCGGGGTGACAGTGTCAGTATGTGCCCCTGATAGTCGAATCGTGGAGTGCTTTGTCGGTGCTTACACTATTGTTTATACGACCCGCGGTTTACATACCAAACAAGTGCGATAGCAACATTTTGATGGCAGTTATTTGCGAGTTCCGCAGGATATTGCACATAAGCTGCAGGAAATAGCTGCAACAAAGGTATACAAAACAGATGTTATCAGTCACACGGCGTATACGCAATGTCTCGTTCAACAAGTCAACACTTGATGCCAGTTGGCTGTGTGAGCTTAGAAAGTTATCAAGTGCAATTTAGAACTGTCAATTGCTTTATGTGCTCGGAGATTAAAATCGGCAGATGGCTGAAATCTGTAGAAGGACTTTAGATTATGATAAGGCTACATGCCACTTAGGTGGCAATCAATAAATCCAATCGCCTGCCTCGGCATATAGCAGAGCATGACAAAAGCTTTCAGAATTTACTGATTGCCTGACAGGAAACTTTTGCAAGTGACTTTGCAGCAGCCGTAAAACTTTACAGGCCCTGCATTCCGTTGAAAAGTTATGCGGAAAATAAATAAACAAGTAAGTTGTTCAACAAAAACTGACAAGTAACTTAATTTTGATTGACTGAGCCTGTACAATTTCTGGCTGTTGACTGCAGTTTCTCCTTTGTTAATCCTTAATGCCTTTTCCGCTTCCTCGCCCCGATTAATTTCTCCAGCTCGGTGGAATTTCTTTCACTTTTGCACTTTCCCCGGAATATATTCAGTTTCTCCCATTTCACACGCTGTCAAGTTGGCAGAAGAATTTCCAGATGCTCTTTTTCTTGGCTCCGAAAATTAAATGTCAAACTGCGTTGCGGCAACTGTGAAAAGATGAGAAATTGCATTTTCGCAGGTAATTTGCATTTGCTGCCCATCTTTCGCTTCTCCGTACCGAATTTCCCGTTCCACGCACATACAAAAGACACGAAACCGGAGCGGAAAAATAACAAAAACAGGGATAAAATCGATATGTAATCAATGCTTAATATCTTGAGCGTGTTCCTTGACCATGGCGAGTGAACCAAACCAAACCAAACCAAACCAAAGCAAACCAAACCGAATCCGAGTCGAACTGATAGAAGCGGCTGTCAGCATTGTAAACATTGAATAAGTCATGGTACGCTCCCAGCGCCTTCGCGCATATTTAATGGGCATATTTTACCAAGACCACGTTCCCGAAATACCCCAATCATGCTGGTCAAGCAGTTATATCAGGATATAGTGCCGAATGCGTCATTTAAATTTTCGGCGCGTTTTGGGGCGCGAAGGTCAAATCATTGTCAGGGCTAGGACTTCGCCAGAAGTCCGCTAATAACCATAATTTGTTCCTAATGACATTCAGCATTCGTTGCTTCTTTCAGGCCTGGCCAATTTAAGCCAGCCACACCCAGGACCATCCGCAGTGGACACATATTAATAAATATATATTCATATTGGCCTTACGGCCGTCCGGCACGACATCATCGATTTATTTGAAAACCTCTCTCGCCATCACATTAAATACCGAAAATGTATGCAAATTTAACAGGCTGATCTCATTTATGGCCGTTTATGCTAGTGTTCGCTAAATTGAATTAACCCACCGGGTTCCGACTGGAATTGTGCATCACACTCGGAACGGTTATGCGCCATGTCATGTGCAGGCTCTTTTGTGTCTTTAACCGGAAAACGAGTGACTTCCAACGAAACTGTGCGTTGCATACACAATTCAGTGGTATGGCGAACTAATTAGTCGACTGACGAAACCGTCGGAAAAAATGGCTTACGAGCAAATAGACATGAAAGGGTTAATTTGGTGCTTATGGAGCAAAGTGGATTTGTGTGCGGACCATGAATAAGGGGATTCCCGGAAGTAAAGGTGGAAAATAAATCTCGTTAGCCTGGGCAAACACCAACCAATCCAAGGGGATAAGCAATACGAACTGCCAAGCAGAGCACGTAAATACTCATTAACTACGAATTTAATATGTCCAGGTCTTAGAATTGGTTAGGAATAATGGCTTCAAGTGGCTATGATTGTTCAGCTCGATAACGATGCCCTAGATGGCAGCAAGGAAAAGGCAAATAAAACATAAAGAACCAGCCACCATTTACATACGTCATCTAGTTGCGGTGACCAAGTTTGCTGAGTTGCCTAGTGCGACCGGGCGAAATCACTCGACTGCAAAGAGATTGAGATTCAGGGCCACTTAAGTGTCATTACATTTGCCTTTGCTTCGCGTTTCCTTTTTGTGAAAAGCCATTTGTTTGTTTGTTTTTCTCACCTTAGCTGTTTATTGTACTGCTGCTAAGGTGAAAGTGGGCAATACTTCAGCTGGAATATCTGGAATGCGATTAACTGTGTGCCAACGACAAGTTTGTTCTTGTTATATGGGATTATTCCAAACACAAATTTATTTTTGGCCGCCTAAGTCAATGCAGAACATCAGGGCAATAAAGACATTTTCAGGTAAATACAAAAGAATATTACTCTTTTAGTTTTACCATCTAATTATTAAACAATTTCTTAGTTATTTTTACTTGTGACAAAAGGCAAACAAAATAATATACAATTATTTGGTATACATTTTTTAAATATTATCCACAATATCACCACATCAGAAAAATTACAAAAAAATTAAAAAGAAAAAAATTGTAAATTTGAATGCATATTTTTAGAGAATTGCTCCAGAAACATTTAGAGGTATGCCAGTTCAAATTCTGATTAAGATAAGTTGAGTTATGGACTTTTGAACTTCACCCTTGGTACATTTTTAAAATTTTTTTAATTTCTTCATATCATAACATCAGAAAAAATAGAAAATAGAAAAAATTCTGTCTGTTACATTCTTTTCAACGAATCTAGTATACCATATTACTCTACGAGTAATTACTGAGCAAGTAATTTTTATAAAGTATTTGAAAACAATATAAAGCAATTACAACACATATCCTTATACGATTCTTTTTTAAAGTAGTTTCTCTCGCTTATTGTTTCGCGAAAACATTTTAAAGATTTTAGTAGCCTATTTGTCTTTGAGTAGTTGATGGCGTTCATGCTCATTCCGTCCTAAATGTACAGAAGCCCACCCACTCACATGCAGCTCGGCTAACAAAGGGTTTTATGTGCCATGCACAACGAAATATAAAAATTTACACTAAGCCAAACCCTGTTGTTCCCAGTTTCCATGTGCAGACCCAGTTCACCCTCATCCACAATCCCATTCCCATCCCCATTCCCCAACAAACATGTCAGCCGTTGTCTTGTCTTGCTTTTACATACAAAATTGACTGTGAAAACGCTTTGGGCACTTTGGTTCTCTGTTTGCACACACTCTCGCTGGAATCGTCCTAGTCCGCCACCAGGACCTTATACACATATGTACACATGTGTGTGCATCCAACTTTTCCTTTCAAGCCTGGTATGGTATGTCGGTCTATGTCGGCTTCTGGCTGTCTATGTCGCATTATGTTCGTAGGTCGGTTCTGCACATTTGTATTTTAGTTTCGCGCAGCTTTGCTTTTTTATGTGCGAAATAATTTGTGTTTCTGTTTTATGCTGTCATAAAAGAATTTCCCCGCTAGAACGTCTCCGTTGCAGTAAAAAAGGGCTGGAAAAAGTACGTGAATGAGTCCAAAGCCCGAATCTATCCACATTTCGCCACGCATGATCAATTAACTAATGAATGCCAGTGAGCTGAATGCATGAACAGCTGCAGGAGTTCATTGAGTGGTGGCATGAACGCTCGACTTTTGTCAACACGCACGTAATGGCACACAAAAGCACACAAAATGTTGTCCCAAAGGCAACCTGCAAATTAGATTAATTACACAGACACACACACCCAGGAAATCAATTCGGCTTTCAATAGCATTCAGTTCGATTTCTCTTGGCGGGGTCAGACCTCAGAGCTGAACAATCGGATGCGAGACAATCTCATCTGCCATTTGACATCGAACAATATACAAGTATATTGCTGGCTGCCAAACTATGAGTTGTTGCCAATTCGGACTGCCAATCAACATGACAAAACAATTGAAATCAAATCCATAAATTGCTTTGCTAGCACAGAACACAGATCACAAAAATACATTTTATTTTGCATTCGAATCCGACTTTATTGACATATAGCTCGAGAGAGGCTGGGCGTTCGATTCCCAAACATGGCTCGTGTCTGGCACTTTGCATGATTCTCGGATGCGAATTGGGTCCATTGCGACTCGTGGAGGTGTGCAATTAATTCACAAGTGTCTGGCGAAGAAAGTTGCAGTCATTAATTAGCTTTAAAAAAAAAAAAAAAAACCCACAGACAGTCGCCTCTCAGTTCATTTGGCACGTTTTGGTCCAAAAGGAGAACAACAAATGGCAAGTAGAAGAGCCCAAGGACCTGGAGTAAAGCTCATTTCCGCTTTATATTTAAACACTCGGGGCTAAAATGTTTGCTCTACTATTTCCACGCAGTGCAAAATCATCATAAAAGCAGGGAATGAAAAAATAAATAGCCCTGGCCCCAAAGAGGGTCGGTCGATGGACCATGGAGCTCGGAGGTGGGAAACGCTTAGCAAGTGGATTTTTAAATTAGTTTGTCGACTCGACTCGACTCGACGACGACGAGGCATCCTACTTCTGCAGATAAAAGCCAAGTCGGTGACTTGAGGCTTGCTAAGTTGGATGGAAGGTCCTCTTTTCGTAAATGGACTTCGTCCGCTTTCGGCATCGACTGCTTCTTGCTTATTTAAATGAATTAGGTGATTTTTCAAGAGCTAAGCCCGCCACGAGCAGTCAACTCATTTCCGGCCAGTGGCTATGGGCCCTTCATGCTTCATTTGGCCTCCACTTTGTGGCTGCATTGCAATGAGCTGTTAATTTGCAGGCCACTGCGTGTCAATCAAAACTTTTACTAGAACTGACTCTGGGAAATCTGATTGCTACCCGCTAAAGCAACGGCAAGAACACAATAATCGACCCAGGAAAAACCAAATAAGGTGTGAAGAAAACCTTTTGAGAGGGAGGCATCGAAAAAGTGCTCCCTGAGTGTTAAGTACATTAAACAGATACGTTCTCTCTGTCAGATACGCAGACTCATTTTTTCGTCAGAATCAGGGCCCACACGCCGCATACGCAATATCGTGTGTTTGCCGCTGTTTTCTCGTCGCCCGTCTGATCCTACATGAGTCCCATTACGCATACGACGCGTGGGCCAGGCGGCATGTTGTGAGGTGAGATATTCGCAATAAAGCTGCAAAGTGGCACGAAGAAGCACACACTCGAAAAGTGCGGACTGAAAGTGAAAGGGTACCTCCTGCACATTTTGCCCCGTTTTATTGCCGGGTTATTGTTATTTAATGCCAAGTTTAATGCCAACACACACACAAAAAGTGGAAACAAACACCTAAAACAATCTCATGCCCGCCCCATTAATATATTCCAACTGGTTTGGTTTGTTTTATATTGTTTTGTTTTGCTTTACTTCCAAGTACGTGTGGGCTTCCCCTGCATTTCGGGCCGAGTGGCAAGTCATTTGCTCCGCTGGTTGCACAATTCTATGTTGACGCTCTTTTGTGTTCGACTGGGCCAAAGAATCTCAGGTTTCGGTGGCTTATGCACGTAGGTTGCCATTGTTCTGCCCGCTGGCCAAGGAAGCAATTTGAATGCCTTTACAGAGCACTGCACAAAGCACAGAATTATGTTTACGGCCAGCTCAGCTGCCACTCGGGGCGGAGCTCTCACTTCTCACTTCTCATTTCCTAGTTCCTAGTTCCCAGCTCCCAGTTCCCACTGCTTCCTGCTCCCTGCTCCCAGCTCCCTGTGCCTGGCCAGGCGTGAAGATTTTCAAAGCTGGACACAGGGATAAGGTTGAGAAGTGCTTTTAAATCTGGCGAATAATGGGAATGTCTCCTCAGTTTTCAAATATTGCATTAAAACAGCTTGGTTAATTTTCAAATTAAGTACATTTATTTTATTAATCTGTGGCAAGTTTAATAAAATTTTCAAGAGCAATTCAATAATGCAATTGTGTGATCCCCTTAACTTACTAATAATTAAACAAACTGTACCACTTAATTGCAACATGGCACCAGAATTTAAGTAAAGTGTACGCTCACAGTACAATGTATAGCTTTAAGTTGATGCTTTATCTGCTTTAAAAGGACGTAGCTATGTGAAGTTCCGAGAGACTCACTAAAAATGTTGTATTGTTAAGTTTCTTAATTTGAAAACGCTTTTAGCGCATACTATCAGTTAAAGCTTCGGGTTTGGAAATGCTGGCTAATTAATGCCTTCGAGTCGTGACTTTAGCCGCATATTGGGACGTCTGAGTGTCATTAAATAAAAGTCGGGCTGACTGGAATTTCACACTTACAGTTGAAATAAATGGGGATCCATTTAAAAACCTAATTTATTACTACATTTCCCAGCCGTTCGGCTGGCGACCCATCCTTCTGCCGGACAGTCTGTCCGTGTTATTGGGCACTCCGGACCGGGCGGTCCATTGTGGCCCTGTCAAAACAACTTCCATTGTTTGCCCCCATTTCACCTGTCAACTGGCCTTTGTGTCTGCTAAGCTTCACACTTGGCGGCGGAAAACTCGGAAGATGGGCGAAGGAACTCTTGCCGAGTGCTGGATGGGTCGCACTTTGGTTTTCATTGTCAACAAGCCAGCCAATTTAGTTAATTAGGCTACCGAAAGTGAATAAACAAAATCTGTAACCAAAGGCGGACAACGGCCACGTGCTAAGCTGTGTGCAAAAAAAAAAAAAAAATCGAAATGAAATAAAACCGCAAAAATGCACAAAACACTTGACGAATTTTTCCGTTTTGCTTCGTAATTTGTATGCCGCGCGCCTTTTCCCCCCAAACTAATTGCGTCGCCGCCTTCGTAGATGTTGATATGGGTTTGTAATTAACTGAGACTATGGATTTATGGCCAGTACTGTTTGGCACTAATTCCCATTCTCATTGCCCAAAAATTGCTTTGGGGTTTGTGCTGGTACCGATTTATTATTTGGGTGCAAGTAACAGTTCGTAGATCCCCTGATCAGCAAACAAAATGCATATATGTACGCATAGGAAATGCATTAATTTAATGGTTGGCGCTGAGTGCATACTAATTTCGTAATCAATAGAACATGAAAATTTGATACTTTTTTAATAATATGATGTTAATGTCTTAACGCTATTAATGGAGTACTGTTGTCAACCGGTATATATTATTTAATACAATGGTTTAATTATGCTAGCTACCTAGATTTAATAGTGCAAAGGCAACTGCTCTAATTTATGGCCGAATATACATTTAAATAAGCTAATGATGCTTTCGGATTATAATTGCTTGTATTGCCTCAAAAAGTTGAAATAAGTGTATCTATCATAATCGGTTTTCTGAGATATTTGAATTGAATATGCAAAATAAAATAATCCACAATTAGTTTCATTTCGAAAAGTGCCTTTAACTCACCTGCATAAATCATCGCGAAATCGATGGCGGTTGTGATCCGAGTTTTCTGGGCGAGATTAGCGAGAGGCCGTCGCCGAATCGCTTGGAAAATCGGTCAAGTGTTTGTTGTTATTGGTTTTCCGATGCACTTGCTGGTGTTAACCGGCTCGCCAGATAGCTATGTATATATTTTCCAAAGCTATAGCTATATCGACTTGTTGCCGCCGGTCATATGTGCTCTCGCTCTCTTTGGCCAATTAATTGGTTGTCATGCGTTGAATAATTGCACGCACTTTGCCTAAAATCTCCATACTCAGCATTTGGTTTACGATATTCACTACTCAGTTTTCAGTGCTTAGTTTTCAGTGGTTTGTTGATCTTTTCGATTGGGCGTGACTAGGCCGGGTTTTGTGAAATTAATAGTTTGTTTGCGCTAGAATTTGATTGAAATATGTTTTATTTGTTAATTGCATGGATTGGCAACATTGCACTGCCAATTTATGGCAAACCAATTATTTGCTGTCATTGCTCGAGCAGAGCCGACACAAAGGCGAAGGAAATGCCGTTCTGATCTTCTGATCTGCTGACTGACATCATCTATAAACAGAAAAATTTGTTTTTGCATATGTGCAAATGCCGCAGCGGGACAATTATGAAAATTGCACTTGGTCAATGCTACATATGTTTGTTTCGGCGACAGAAAGGAAAATTGTTTGCTAATGAGCGAAATTACGAAACGGAACGAAAGCGAGCGATTTGATTAGGCGAAACTAGCACGGCGCTGAAGAAAACCCCATTAAATCACATAAGACACATTCACACTCGTCTCACACTCGCGAATTCATTATAAATGCACTCACTCGCTCGTCTCGCTTTTTGCGAATTGTAATATTTTGGTTTTTTGGCCAGAAGGCACGTAGCTGCCGCAAGCTTTAGTTTTGGTTATCAATCATGGGTAATTATAACATTAATTATACAGCTAACGTCCTTTGGCTTCGATCGAGGACTCAACAGGAACTGAATTCGCAAAATGGTGAAAACAGCTGTTGTTCGCGATCACGGGCACTCGGCTCTTCGGCAACTCACACAAACACAGCGCACAGGCGCACACACTCACACACCCACACAGCGCTGCCTTGCACTTACACCCACACAACACTGTTATCTACCGTTATGTGCCGTCGGCAAGAACCGTTAGTTCTTGCCAGGTTTCTCCGCTCGTGCGAATTGGCACAACCGACGCGGCAGAGTTTTCAACACGAACTGAATTTTCAGCGCGAACTGTTGGCCCACAGGCCTCGGGCCGGAACGAGTGAATGGAACGCGGACCGGTGGAAACTGGCCAAGTACAACACGAGAAGAGGGACGCGAAACTGAAACAGCGCTCAGTAGGAAGGCGGAATTTTTTGAACAGCGCGCAACAGTCGCCTGTCGTCTGCCGCCTGGAAGTAAAATCGAAGGCGGTATTTTGTGTGAGAAGCAAGGAGTCTGATTAATTATAATCCCTTGATTCCCCTAATCTGCATTCGCCTGCAGCCAGTTGAAATTCCCTTTGATTTGCGACGCTTTCTGGCTTGTTAACCTTTCGGCCAGACAAACAGGCAGTTGGCCATGGCAAATAAAAGAAGCCACGCATAATAAATTGGTAAATTCGAAGCAGTCAAAAGGATGGCTGGCCTGCTAGAAAAAAAGGACACACACTTGCCCCTTTTTTGATGGGCATCCGCTCGTCCTTATTCTGATTGTGCCATCCGCTGATTTTTCTAGCAATTTCATTTTATGACAAAGTTGGCCGACTTCAATTTGCCCAATTTTCCATTACAGCTGCGAGGCGTTGATTGCGTTCTTGTATCATTTTACGATTTTTCGTAAGTATTTGGCTCACAATTCCGCCATGGCCAATACTCTATTCAAAACTCATTACCAAGCCCATTGAAAGCTGGAAAGCTGAGTAAGTGGCGCGGGCACTTGCCATGCAAGAGCTGTTGCGGCCATTATTCACTTGATTTCTGCCCGTTTAATCGACTCACATCCCAACTTTTATCTCACTGAACTTTTGGCCCCGTTTGGTCTAGCCCAGTAATAATGATAAATGAAAAGAGAACGCCTCGGCCCCGCCCACAACTTCTGCGCCCCTCAACTGGCGTGTGTGTGCTTGTATCGCCTCTAATTAGGATAAACAGATGTTGCCCAAAAATTAATTACACATCATGAGCACTGAACAGCCGCCCAGTTTCCCTTTCCTAACTGCTCATTAGTGCTTGGGGCTCGTGATCGGTCATATTGAATTAATTTTGGCCTTCATAGTAATTATATCCTTTCGGCGACTTTCTGCTACAAGTATCTATATATTGCTTCTATCAAATCTCAGTTGCCGTGCAGCACGTTTAACCTGAATTTGCATTACTGAGGACATCCCGATGTTCGCCTGCATTAAAACCGCAATTCCACTTTCCTACCCCCATGACTAAATTTAAACATTGAACCCAAAGAAAAACACCATGAATTCTGCGGCAGAATCTGTTGTTATTTTTAGCCCTTCTGTATCCAGCATTTGGCTCGGGATTTTTCAGGAATTCCGGTTGGGTCTGCGTCGCATTTCATTCTTCAACCAAATCGGATTTGCAAAATTTCCATCGTCTGGCCAGATAAAAGATGCGGAATCAATTTGCAGGCAGCATCGAACAAAGCAGCGAGATGACGTGGCCCTTTCTTAAAGCTGAAGGCCAGGTATCCCGCAGCTTAGAGAGTTCTTCCCTGGGAGGTGCCCGAAACTAAGCTCCGGCGTCAGATTGCGCCTTCTGTCAGTCAAAGGCAAACACCTGTAATAAATATTCGTTTGCCGTCTTTCACCCGCTCGGTTATCCTGGATTTCTCCTGGCGCTGCGCTGTCACAGATACATTTTGTCTGCTTTTCCGTGTGAGCGCACAAGGCAACGGCGGAAAGAACCGGAAAAGAATGCCTAGCTGGTAAGTTTTTTATACATTTTCAGTTCAGTCAGTTCACCCGGCTCTGCCCAGCCGCCCCTTGAATTTTTATGCGGGCCATAAAGAAAAAGCACTAGGAACGATGCCAACAGCCTGGGCAAAGCACTTGACGAGGCTGCTGGCGGTGGCTGCTGGGTTCAGCGGCCACTTTCGGCCTCCCGCACTCCAGAAGCAATTCACTCAGCCATTTATGGTCGCACAAGTTGCCCCAACACGCAGCCATAAATCCGCGGAGCACAGCTTCCGTTGCTTCTGTTGCTCCTGATGCACTTCATTTTCGCCAGGAGCCCAAGGATGCACCAAGTGTTACATTTTGCGCCCAGCTGAGCGCTCAGCGTGTGTTATTAATTGCGTAATTTGTTTATTAATACACAAGTGCACACGCGGCAGCAGCAGCACCTGCTGGGGTTCAAGGATCCACCCGTCCGCTGTCCAAAGACTCGGGCTTCAACCCATTGGCAGCAAATTGCCTTTGCTCATTGCTTATTCAGGCAATCAGGAGGTGTTTGCCCTGCTCTCCAGCCCACCGTGTAATCAAATTAAATCTCAACTGCATAAACTTTGCGGGAAACTGTTTGACTTACAATTAAATTGTACTCCGCCCTGAAAGGCGGCATAAATCAATTTTTATATGCCAGCTCCTCGTCCTGCCTCCTGCGTCCTCCGTCTTGATTTCTGGACCCGGTTGCCTGCCTGGCTGTTAATTGCACACACAGAGAGTTCTAATGGCAAACACGAGCTAGAGTTTTTAGTCGGCAAAGGCGGAGATGTTATTTAATTATAATTACCAGCGCCATATTAGCGCAATTAGAGGCGGGGACCAAAACCGCAGCGAAGGACACGATTTCCAGGCTGTCTGGCTTAGGAGACCCAGGCGGTTAGGTTGACTGCTAGACACAGACTGTCAGGACATAAAACCAATCAATTATAGATCTATTTCAAGACAGTTTTCAACTCGTTTGAGGCGCGATGCTATTGCAAATAGCCGAGCAAATGGATTTATTGCCGCCGCAACAAACGCAAATTGAGAAAGGCATTCTGCATACCGCACTACTTAATCAAAGTCAATGCATAAAATGAATGCGTAAACAGCCCAAGCATATCTCCGGCATCGTGGCAGTGGGAGCTGCCCATATTGCGCATACGTCACGTGCGTCCCCGAGTTGCATGCGTAATATTGCCTGGCTGCTGGATCGACTGGATCGGCATTGCCCATGGCACATCGATGATTACCATACTAAGTTGGTCGCTGAACACACCTGCATCCTGCATCCTGCATCCACGTTTTCCAACCCGCTTCCTGCAACACTCACTTAACACTCCCACACGTCTGGGCACCATCATCGCGGCACAGGATTCAATTGCAGCAGCTGCCTGATGCAGACTCGAAACAACTCGCAGCAGCCCCAGCAAGAGTTTCCAAGGAAAAGTGCACGTAGTGCAGAGTCTTTGTCGTTTGGACTTGATTATACCTAATCTGTAAACTAGCTTCAATCACCAACAGTTGCAAGGGGACTACTCATTTTTATAACCTTTTTTATTTATGTAATGCTAAAATCGAATTACAAATAACTTAGTAACAATGAGCTTGGGCTTTAGCCACTGCAAAGCTGAACTCCTTAAATATCGTACGTAATATTAATAATGTATGAACTATTACAATATCTTACCTCAAAATAGAATTGCCCTATCCCAACGTCCCTGAAAATACCCCTCAACTGGCATATAACTCGCTGAGTGCATTAGATGAATATTAAAAGCACTCGTGAGCAGCAGCACTTGAAACTTAAAAGTGAATGGCAAGCGGACAGGTCCTTGTCCAGGACCTGCACTCGCCAATAATATCAACGTGGAGCAGCAGCATCATGGTGCGTTGCATAATTTATTGTTATGCAATCAATCGGGGTAGCTTCGTTGAGCAGGCAACAAATGGAGCCTGCCCATCCACCACTCAGCCCGGCCGAGTGATTCTGATGGACTCGCCCGAGAGGCCATAAATTAAACATATTTGTTAGCGTATAATCCATGTAATCAAATTACGTTTGCACAACCTGTTTGCACGTATTCTGTGGCTTCTGTGGCTGCTGTGGCCAGGTACGTCGGATTCAGACAAGAGCAAGCATACAGTTCCTGGCTAATTTGTGCTGCGTAATTTCCATTTTCATTTCCATTTTCACTTCCAGTTTCCCCGCCCCGCCCCGCCGGATCGGGGGGCTCATAATCTGCAGATGTGAATGCGAACAATGCCGCATTAAGTGGCAGTGTCAGCGAAACGGCCTGGTTAACCTGTCATCGCCAAACGGAGCCACAATGTCGGTCAGCTCTAGGCCACCTGAGTGAGCTGGGCTCTGGTTTTGATTGCCCGTTCAAAACCTCAACGGGCATAATTTCATCGCCTGCGATGTTTTCATTTTCAGGATATTTTCGTCCTTCTCGGCACCTGTTGCTACATCCGCCGCGTTGGGTCCCCTTTGCTAATCAAGCCCTGCGACAAACATAATTTATTTGAACGCACAAAAGGGACCAAGGACACCGGCTAGGTAGACAAGGACAAGCGACGGACAACCAACTTCCGGTGGCCCTGAAAGGGAAGGAAGGATATAATTAATTTCGTTAAGGTCGCATCAACAATCTTACCTTGAAGAAGGGGTAATCAACTAAGCCAAAAAGCTAGCTCCAATACTGGTGCCTCCGTCAAATCTCCGATTTGGCTCTGCAAGCCAACTCGTCGACGTTCCACATCCGCCATGGTGTCCCGTTCCTCTATGGCTGGAAGTTAGCAGACATATTGCATGAATAATTGCGCACAAGCTGCTCGGGCTGCATTCATCCATCGCCGAGCAAAACGGAACAAGCCAAGCAAATTAAAATCTTAGCAACAAAAGCGAAAAGTCAAAATGTTTGTTAGACAAATAAATTCAACACTTCACGCATATTTTCATAAGCTGCCAGACCAGCACACATATGACTACACTGGCATAAAAATATCAAGAAAGCAAAGTCGGACAGTTGTTAGCAAAAAGTCTGTTAAATTTTTTTCTACCACCAATAGAATAATGAACTAGGACCTTATTTAAAAGTGGATATAACTAGAGAGAACGCTATGGCCGAGTTTCGCGACTATCAATTAGCCTTACCAAAAAATGTGGACAAAAAAATAAAATTAATGGAAATTGGCAAGAAAAATAATGAAATGATAAAAACCGAATGACTGTCTTCGGCGGCTTTTGGCCTAAATCTAGAATCTGCAAGTTGAATATAGGTTTCAAAGCCTTTTCA